AAGGCTAAGGTCACCCAGTATATCCTGGGCCATCTCCAATCCTCTTGACTTTTGTCTTGCTATTGGACTTCAATGACTCTGGAGGAAAGAGTGGGGCTGATGACTTTGCTCAGCCCTGCCTTACTTCAATCCAATTCACATGCAAGCCAAGACATCATCACCCTCCTGATGTCACTGGGTCCCTTCAAGCATGAAGGATGAATAGCAATGTAACATCTCACATAAAAATTATAATAGCTAACATTTATATAGTGCTTACTATGTGCCAGGCACTGTGCTAAGCACTTTACAGTTTTCTTATTTGATCCTCACAATAACCCTGGGACGTAGGTGGTATTATTATTATTCCCATTTTACAGATGAGGAAACTGAGGCAAACAGGTGAAGTAAGTTGCCCGGGGTCACACAGCTACTGAGATTCTGAGGCCGGATTTGACCTCAGGTCTTTCTGACTATAGGCCCAGCATTCTATCCACTAGCTGCCCCATCCCTTGGACACCGTCCTCCGCCATCTCCTTCTTCATCTCTATGTCTTACGAAGACGTGGCTGACCCTTCTTTTTGAGAAGATGGTCACCCTTGATTCCATCCCCTTCTAACTTCTCAGGCAGATTATTGTGACTCTCAGTCTGCCTTTCTAATCTTCATGCTTCTCCTTATCTCTTCAGTCTTTAACTGCCACCTACAAACCTGCCCACATCTCCCCCATCCTTACAAAAACTGCCCTTCATGCAACCATCTCTGCTACCTAGCCTTTACATCCCAGCCAAACTCCTGAAGAAAGCCATTTACAATGGGAGCCTCCATTTCCTCACCTCTCAGCTCTGCTGAAACCTTGGGAATCTAGTTTCTGGCCTCATCATTCCCTCCAGAGCTACCAATCATCTTCCCACAGGCAAGTCCAACGGCCTCCTCAAGCCTTCTCCTCCTTCATTTCTGCAGCCTTTGGACATTATCACACAGACAGATACTCTCTTCTCTGGTTTTCTTTTTTCCGCACAGCTCTCTCCTGGTCTTCCTCTCCATGTCTGACCCCTCCTCTCTTATTGGCTGTCCATCCATGCCAGCCATCCATGGTGTCTTCTCGTCAAAGCTCTGTCCCGGGCCTTCTTCTCCCACTATACTACCTCACTTGGTATCCTTATGGACTCCTATAGATCCTAGTAGCATCTCTAGATGGCTGACTCTCAGTTCTATTTATCCAACGCCCACCTCTCAACTGAGCTCCGGTCCTATGCTGCTGACTGCCTTTTGGACAGCTCAAACTGGACATCCCAGAGACATCCCAGAGTCAACATTCCAAAACAGAACTTTCTCCCCAAACTCCTATTACTGACCACTGGCCTTCCAATCACCCAGGCTTGCATCTTGGACATATTATTCCTCAACTCCACATTCTCCCTCACTGCACATATCCAATGTTTTGTCATTTTTCTCTACTTCATCTCCATTTGTCCCTTTCTTTCCACTTCCATGGGCAGTACCCCAGTTCACACTCTTGGGACCTCTCATCTCCTGCTTCTGAGCCTTTGTATCGCCTGTGCCCCCTGCCTCGAACGCCCTGCTCATATCCACCTGTAGAATTCCTGGCTTCCTTCAACACTTGGTTCAAGAGCTGCTCCAGTAAGAGACCCTTCCTGGTCACTCCATGTGTTGGTAATTTCCCAAGGTTACCTTGTACCTTCTCTCTCTGTCTCTGTCTCTCTCTCTCTTCCCCTCTCTCCCTCCCTCTCCCTCCCCTTCCCTACTCTCTCTCTTCTGTCAGTCACTTTCTCTCCCTATCCACTTTCTCTTTTCTCTCCTCTGTCCATCTGTATGCCTTTCTCCTCCTCCTCCTCCTCCTTCTTCTTCCTTCCTTCCTTCCTTCCTCCTGCCTTGCCTCTGTCAATCTGTCTCCCTCTCTCTCCTCTTTCTCCTCTATGTCTGTGTGCCTTTCTTCTCTTTCTCTGTCTCTCTGTCTCTCTCTGTCCTGTCTATGTCTCTGCCTTCTGTCTCTGCTTCCCCCTCTGACTTTCTTCTCTCTTTTCCCTCTCTCATATATATATATGTATACATACACACATATATGTGTATGTGTACATACATATGTATACATATTCTTTTTCAGCATTTATTTATTTTAATTTTAATTTATGGAGTGAAACAAGCATTTCCATAACATAGCATAATAAAAATATGATTGTACGTGAAACTGCAAATCATTGCACTCTCTATAGATATATCAAGAAAAAGAGAGAAACAGCAACAGGAAAGGATATATGTGTGTATATTATATATGTGTATTATATGTGTGTGTGTGTATATATTCATATACATGTATATGCTTCTTACCTTACCATTCAATGAAAACTGTTGTCTGCAGAATCAACGATGATCTCTTAATTGATAAATCAAATGACCTTTTCTATGCTATATACCTATTTATGATCATGCTGTCTTCCTCACTTGAACATAAATTCCTTCAAGGCAGGGACTGGTTTTGCTTTTTCTCTGTATCCCTGGCACTTAGCCCAGTGCTGGGCACAACTTAATAAATATTTTTATTTATTATTTATTTTTATATTTATATTTATTATTATAAAATAATAAATATAAGAAAAATTATAAAATAATAAATAAACACTTAATAAATATTTACTTGTTTAGTGATATGGAAGGTCCTTTCCATTTCTAACATTCTGCAAACCTCTCTATTCATAAGACCACAGACGTTATCATGGACCTGAGGCAGCCCCTTCATTTAACAGATGTAGAAAGTGAGGCCCAATTTAAAACTCAAAATCTTATGGAAGTCAATGTTGAAAACTAAAAATTAATTAATTAATTATTTTTTTAAAAAATGAGGCTCAAAGAAATAACGTGATCTGCCTTAAATCACACTGGTAGTGAGTGGCTGAGGGAGAATTTGAACCTACAACTCCATACTCTTTCCACTATACTATGCTACTTTTATGCCTTAAGCTGTTCCTTGCATCTGTGGTATATCCAATTTTCCCTAAATAAGGAGCCAAAGCATGTGACTCTAGGAATATCACATCATCAGTCTATTTCCTCATTAATTTTGAGAAGTGGGAGTGCAGACCCAAGATTTCATCTGTGTATGAAGCTCTCTGTGTGGGAACTCCTTCTACGAATACATATCTCAGCTCCCAGGAGCATGGATTTAGAGATGAGGAAATGGAGGCACAGAGAGGTCATGATTTGTCCAGTAAATGTCCGGGGTGGGATTCAAACCCAGTTCTTCCAAGCCCAGAGCTCTGTCTCCTACTGTATGCTGATCAGCCGCTCACCTGGCAAGGGGTAGTGACTTGTCCAGCCTATGTTGAAACAGGACTCTAACTCAGGTCTTCCTGACACCTAGGGCAGCCTGCTGTTCACTTCACTCTCAGAAACGAGAAATATTTGATAAAATTAAAATACGTATAACAGCACTTGATCCCTCTCAGGGGTAGATGCAGGGAAAGGGTGCTTTGGAACAATGGACACAGTCTTGGCCTTGGAGTCAGGAGGACCCGGGGTCAAATATTGCTTCAGCCACTGACTACCTGAGTGACCCTAGACAAGTCATTGTCTCTTTCAAAGCCTCAGTTTCCTCATTTGTATAATGAGGAGGTTCGACTAGATGACCTCTAAGGTCTCTTCTGGCTCTAAATCCATCCTTAAAATAATAGAGAAGTGGGGTGGCTTGTGTTAATAAAACAATCTCACACTTACATAATGCTTTAAGGCTTACAAAACACTTTACAAATAGGACCTCATTCTGTCCTTACAACAACCCGGAAAGGTAGGTGCTGTTGACATTTGACAGATGAGGAAACTGACACAGATTGGTTAAGTGACTTGCCCAGGGTCACACAGCTAGTAAGTGTCCGAGGCTGGATTGCTCAGGGCTCTCTCCCCACATTGGGCAGAAGCTGGAGAATTGCTCCCAGCTGAGCCCTTCCGGCTCCGTGCTCAGACTTTCTCAACTTTCTCATTTTGTTTTGTTTTTTCTTGGAAGGGCTGGGGGAAGAGAGCTCAGTCCCAGCACTGTCCAGCAGAGGGCAACCTGGAGCTGCAGTTCTAGCTGGGTCTGGCCTCACCCTGAAAAACTCTAGGGTGTCCGAAGTCACTCCCCACCAGCTCACACTGTGCCCCTCCCCATAATAGGGAGGGCTCAAGGATGGCTTCTGTCCAGAGGCTGGAGCTGAGAAAGGGATGACGTTTATCTCAACTATCCGTTCTAGTTGTACAAAGCACTTTCCACTTTAGAAAGCACTTTCAGAAACTTTATGCAGAGGGGTGCTCTGGAGTCCGGGTGTCAGTTTGTGGGCCCTGTCCCCCTGCCCCCCACAGGGGACCCAGGCATCTGCTTCCTGCTGTGTCTGCTCCTCCCCTCCCTTCTCACACATCCCACCTACACACACACACACACACACACACACACACACACACACACACACACACACACTCCTTTCTGGCCCTTTCTGCTGCAACCCTGGCATCTGGTTCTCTGGTCCCACCCCACCCCACCCAGCCCCTAGCCTCCCAGGCCTCCAGCCTGACCCTCCTTTGGTCAGGCCCCTTTTTCTTCTTGCTTGGCGGGTGGGGGTGGGTTCCATCCTATCCCCTCCCTGGAGGCGGTGTCTTTCCTAATGGTCTCTGACCCTCCCCCTCCAGATTTCCACCCTCCAACATCCTCCCCCCAACCCCAACGTCTGCCTGATACTGAGTCCCTTTCCCAACCCCAGGGGAGAAAAGGGTTGGAGGAGGGAGTAAGGGAGAGACGGGGCCCAGAGACAGAGGGAGCCCGGGAAAGGCACAGCGAAGCAAAGAGAGCCAGAGACGAAGGCACCAGAAAGGGAGTCAGAGAGGGACCGAATCAGAGCAAAACGGACAGAAACAGAGGCAGAGGCTGTGGGAGATAGAGCTGGGGTGGGCAGGGAGGGAGACAGTGGCAGAGGCTGGGATCCGGAGGCAGGAGGAAACGTGGGCTGGGAAGGACCAGGTGGGGGAAGGGAGCAGAACGAGGGAAGAGCAGAGCCCGAAGGCTGGGGTGCTTTAGGGAGCCTGCCTGACAGGCCTGGGCTTCAAGGGGGAGGAAAGGAAGCGGCAGACAGAGACCTGGACCAGCCTGGGCCACCAGCCCAGGGTTGTTGAGACACCATGGGGGGCCTGGAAGGAGCCAAGCTGCTGCTGCTGCTGCTACTGCTGTTAGGGGGGGCGGGGATAGCCTGGGAACCACACAAGGGGAAGTGCCCCCCAAGTTGTTCCTGTACCAAAGACAGTGCCCTGTGCAACGGCTCCCCCAAAGTGCCCGAAGGCTTCCCCCCTACCCTGCTGTCCCTGTGAGTCTGCCCAAAGCCAATGGCCCAGTTGGGGGTGTGGCCCCCGGGACTGGGGGATGGATACTTGCATCCCTGAGGTGGAGGACAGCAGCTAGGACACCAGAGTCCGTGGAGGAATGGGGAACAGGAGATAGCTATCTGAGGCTGCGGCTGGGGGGACCCACGATCCATGGAAGAATGGGGAATGAGAGCTAGCTCCTGGAGAGGGAGGGCATAGGGCAGATACAGGCCAGGACTGGGTCCCTCAAAGGATAGGCAAGAGATACGTGGATCTTTGAGTGGCGTTAGATGCTTGGGTCCTTACAGGAGAGCCGGGAGCAAGGAAGCCCGATCGGCTGAAGGGCTGATCCAGGTTACCTCTGCATGCCCTTAGGTCTTTGGTAAGATCTGAAGTGACTCACCTTACCTCTGGCAGCTTCCTGGAGACCCCCTCCCTGCACCTTCTGTAAGCTGTCTTGGACTCTGGGACAGACAGAAACCAAGCGCTGGGAGAGTGGGAAGGAAGGGAGGGGAGTAGGGGGGGCTAATAATGTGTCTTTGGAGAAGGGCCAAAGTGTGTGGGGGAGGGGGAGCTGGGGTCTAGCAGATTGGAGTGGGAGGGGGGAGGAGGAGAAATGAGAGAGAGGAGGAGCACAGAGCCCTCTTCGCCTTAGTCCCGAGCTGGGACCCCCAATCTTAAATTCCTTCACAGTCTCCTCACAGCCAACACCTTCTCTGTGATTGGAGATGATGCTTTTGCTGGCCTCTCCTATCTGCGGTATCTGTGAGTGGGGCCTCTGGGGTGGGGGGATCGGGGATTACTTGGGGGGAGGAAAGAGATTGGGCTGAGGAGGTTGGGGGCTGCATGGGCTCAGAGGGGAGAACTGAGAATTGGGGAAATGATGCCTCCCCAGCTCCCCTTACCTTCCGGAGTGGAGGGGTGGGGAGAAGAGGTCTGAACTGAAGGCTTCCCCGGGTCACTGCTGACTCTCCATGTGACCCCAGACCGGTCAACTTGCCTTTCTATGCTCTAGTCACCCCAACTTCGAAACAGAAAGGAGGTCTCTGGCCCCACCTGCCTTATGGGACGAGGCTTCCGGGGGGCCTGCTGATGGGTCCCTGAGGCTGGGGTTACCCCTGGGGCCCCCTCTCCTCCCCCAGGTTCATTGAAGACAATCACATCAGCTCCATCTCCAAGAATGCCCTCCGGGGGCTGAGATCCCTCACACACCTGTGAGTGTTCCCCTTCTTGCCAATGGCATCTCCCCTCCCCCAGCAACCACTTGACATGTCTGTGACATGGAAATTCCCTTGAAGTAATGCTCCCCACCACTCTGGAGTTACTCCCACCCCAGGGTCCCCTTTGATTCCTTTTGGCCTGACCAGCCCCTGCTCCATGCCCCAAGGCCTTGTCGGAAGGAAGTGATTTTAAATGTGTGTCACCATCCCTTTTACTTCCCTCTCCGCATCCCAGGAGTTTGGCCAATAACCATCTACAGACCCTGCCCAAGTTCCTGTTCCGAGGACTGGAGACCCTGAGCCATGTGTGAGCCACAGGGAAGGGTACGGGAGGAGTAGGTTGAGGTGGGAACTGGAAGGGGGCACCTCCCATGAGTCTCCCAACTTCCAGGAATGGGGAGGGGAGTGGGCATAGGGTAGAGAAAATTGCTAGCTCCAGAGGGAAGAGTCAGAAGCTGGGGATGTGAAAGGAAGAGAGAGAACCGTACACAAAGAGGAGGCTGCAGAAAGAGTACAGACTTGGGAGTCAAAGGGTCTGGATTCAAATCCCACCTTTTTCACTTTCTGCCTGTGTGAACTTGGACAAGTCACCTAACTTTTTGGCCTCTCAGGTCCTTCCTAGCTCTGCATCTATGACCTTATAATTCTAGGCTGCCTTGAAGTAGTGAGTTCATCCATCACTGGGAGACCTTTAAGGGGAAATTAAAAGATCACTTCTCAGCAACATGGTCCAGCTCGGAATAATTATGATCTGGAGTCCATTCCCACTTGGAAATTCTGTGGTTCTGGAAGAGACAGGGTTAGGGACACAGAAGGGGAGTAAGCCAGAGGTGGACAGTTTGAGCACATGGCTAAAATATGCCACCCAGGGTAGGCAGAGTCAGAGGTTCTGGGTTCAAACCTGATTTCCATCATTTACTACTTCTGTGATCTTGGGCCAATCTCCCGAGCTTTCCGAAACTGTTTGCTCCTCATTGAATTAATTAAGCTCGTCTCTAAAGTCTCCTCCAGTTCTAAATTCTATGAACCCACCAGGAGTGGGGAACCTGCAGCCTTGAGGCCACACGTGACCTCAAGGCTGCAGGTTTCCCACACCTGAATCAGAAGTCCCAGATCATCAAAGGTGGAATCCATCAGCTGGGGCTTAGAGGAGTGGGAGGAATTTGGACTTCTCTTATTTTCACCACCAGGGATCTTCGGGGAAACCCGTTCCTCTGTGACTGCCGCCTGTTATGGCTGGTCCTGTGGCTGCCCCGAGTGAACGCCAGCGTGGGAGTTGGAGCCTGTGCAGGGCCCACGCCTTTAGCCAACAGGCAGCTCCAGCACCTGGACCCAGACACCTTCCATTGCAGGACTGTGGGTATGCCTTTCCAGGGAGTGCAAGGTCCAATGCCAGAGACCAGAAAGAAAAGATTGGGGCATGTTCCTTCAACAGGCATTTACAAGTGCCTAACACACACACCTATTAATGTACCCCACATCTCCTCTATTAGAATGGAAGGTCCCTAACGGCAGGGACATTTCCTTTTTTTTTTTTTTTAACCCTAACCCTTTTTTTTTTTGACATTTGCCTTTTTTTAATCCTCACCTCTTGGCACAGTGCCCAGCACCTAGTGAGCCCTTAAAAATGCTTGTTGATTGATTCCCTAGGGGTATGCTGAGGCAGCTGGGTGGCTCAGTGGATAGAGTGCTGGGCCTGGAGTTAGGGAGACCTGAGTTCAAATGAGGCCTCAGATACTCACTAGCTGTGTGACCCTGGACAAGTCACTTATGTTCTAAGCAACTCTAAGACTCTTTGTTGTTTTTGTTTTGTTTTGTTTTGTTTTTAGGCAACTGGGGTTAAGTGACTTGCCCAGGGTACAAAACAAAACAAAAACAACAAAGAGTCTTAGAACATAAGTGACTTGCCCAGGGTCACAAGCTAGTTAAGTGTCAAGCGTTTGTCTGATTCCGGATTTGAACTCAGGTCCTCCTGACTCCAGGGCCGGTGCTCTATCCACTGCGCCACCTAGCTGCCCCTTCTAAGACTCTTAAGTTGCAGAATAGATGCCATCTGCAATGATGGATGGAAATTTCCTCAGGATGAGGTCCCTAAACCAAAGTTCTAGGCACTTTGCTGGGTCCACAAAGAAAAAAAAAACCAACTCTGCCCTCAAGAAGCTTACACTCTATGGGGAGGGGAGAGATATGGCTGGGACCAGAGGGTAGCAGAGGCCAAAGGACAGGATTACTTCGTTTCTGAAAGGCCCACAGGCCAAGGGGCTAGATATCAGCATCTGTGAAGGGACTGGGAGCCAGCAGGCCAGAGTGGTTATTTGGTTAACCCACTAGGTTCTTACTATATGCCAGGTACTGTGTTAGACACTGGGGACAGACATACAAAGAATGAAACAATCCCTAGTCACAACAAGCTTGCATGTTCATGGGAGAGATGAGTACATATAAAATATATGAGGGGCAAATTTAAAGCTAATAAATATATTTGTATATGTATTATGTATTACTATATACATATTATATATATATATATCCGTATCTTATTGTAAAGTGTGTCATTAAAGGCAGTTGGGCCCTTGTACTTGAGAGGTGAGGGCATCAGAAAAGGCCTTATGGGAAAGATGGTAGTTCAGCTGTATCTCCTAGGAACAGAGGGACCCTGTGAGACAGAGATAAGAAGGGAGTACCTGGGGGACAGCCAGTACAAAGACACTGAGGTGGGAGATGGACTGTTGGGAGTAAGGAGGCCACGTTGCCTGGCTGGCAGGGTGCAAATATCCAGTGAGTCTGGGGAGCAGAGGCTGACGTTTCCTGTTGCCTGAGCAAAAACTTCTTTTTTTTTTTTCTACATTTAATTTTTATTTTATTTTTTCTCAATTACATGTAAACAAAAATGTTTAGCATTCTATTTTTTTTTAATTTTGAGTTCTATATTCTCTCCCTTCCTTCCCCTCCCCCCTCCTTGAGAAGGCAAGCAATTTGATATGGATTATTCCCGTGAAGTCATGCAAAACATGCTCATATTAGCCATGTTGCAAAAGAAAATCGAGGCCAAAAAGCCCCAGAATAATAAAATAAAATAAAAAAGTCTGCCTCAGTCTACACTCAGAGACCATCAGTTCCCTCTCTGGAGGTGGATAGCATTTTTCACCAGGAGTTCTTTGGAATTGCATTAGATCATGGTATTGCTGAGAACAACTAAGTCATTCACCGTTGTGTACAGTAGTCTTCCGGTTCTGCTCATTTCACTTTGCATCAGTTCAGGCAAATCTTCCCAGGTTTTTCTGGAAGCCGAGACTGAGCAGAATCCTCCCTCTGTCCTATTCCTAGAGCTGTCCTGGTTCCAGACCCTAGGAGAACCAGCGCTTGGTGTGGAAACCTTCTCCTACCTGGGGGAGCCGCACGTGGTACTGGCCCAGCCCTTTGCCGGCAGATGCCTCTTTCTGGTCTGGGATTACATGCTGCAGCGTTTCCGGCCTGATGAAGAAATCCCGGGTGAGATCCTGATCCCCGACGCCGCCCCTCCCCCTCTCCAGCCCCTTCCCCTCCTTCCCCGTCTCAGATTCTGCCCGCCTGAGCCCCCCATCCTTCGCAGGCATGGCCCTGCCGCGTGTCCCCTGCCCCGGATCCCCCCACCCCCATCCCCAGGCGCCCCCCGTGACGTGCCCTCCTCCCCTCCCCTCCCGCCAGCGCCGTCGGTGGTGGCCTGTAAGCCCCTGGTGCTAGGCTCTCGGCTCTTCGTGCTGGTGGCCCGGCTGTGGGGGGGATCCCAGCTGTGGTCCCGCCCGAGCCGGGGGCTGCGTCTGTCGCCGTCCCAGGCCCTGGCCCCGGAGCTGCTGCTGAAGCCCAACGACGCCGAGCTGCTGTGGCTGGACGGGGAGCCGTGCTTCGTGGTGGCCGAGGTGTCCAAGGCCGGCCGCACCACGTTGCTGTGCCGCGACGGGCCGGGCCACGGCTTCTACACGCGCCAGAGCCTGCACGCGTGGCACCGAGACACGGACGCCGAGCCCCTGGAGCTGGCCGGGGAGCCGCACCTGCTGCTCGCCTCCGCCTCGCAGCGGCCGGTCCTCTACCGCTGGCAGCGCGGCCGCTTCTCACGGCGCACCGACGTGCCCGAGGCCGAGGACGTCTACGCCACCCGCCACTTCCAGGTGGGCGGAGACGTGCTCGTCTGCCTGACCCGCTACCTGGGCGACTCCATGGTGAGGACTCCGAGCCGAGGGCCCCGGGGTGGGGGGCTCCGAGGCGGCCGCTCACTCACCTGACCTGTCTGTGGACCTGGCTCTCCTGGGAGGGAAGGGGAGCCGCCTTGGAGTGGGGGTGGGACCTGGCGGGGGGGGGGGGGGGAGATCGAATCCTGTCTCAGACACGTGCCAGCTGTGTGACCCTAGGCAAGTCACAGCCACTCTGCGTCAGTTTCCCCATCAAAAAAAAAAAAAAAAGAGGTGGTTGGAGAGGATGGCCTGCTTAACCAATCTGAGCCTCAGTTTCCTCCTCTGTAAAACGAGTGGCTTGGATTCCACAGCCTCCAAGGCCCCTTTCAGCTCTTACTTTATGATTTTAATGTCCTTTCAAGATCAAAATTTTAGGATCAAGAGACTTACTCCTCAAACCCCTTGGTGCCAAGCCCCCAGATCTGATTCAATGCTCCAGAACCCATCCCCCTTCCTCCTTACTCTACTCTCATAACCCTCCCACTGGTGCCCCCAGTCCCATTTCTGACCGGTTACACCATCAACCAATCGAGGAGCATTCATTAAACACCTACTGTATGCCAAGCACCGAGGATAAAAGACAAAAGGCTAAAACCCTCCCTGCCCACAACCCAAATCTAAATGGGGAATTCACCGTGTTCATAGAGTAGCAATAACAGCTAGCATTTATAAGCACTCTAAGGTTTGCTAATTGCCATATGTATATTTTCCCAATTGATGAGCACAACAGTCCTGGGAGGATGGTACTGTTAGTACCCCCAGGTTACAGATGAGGAAATGGAAGCTAAGAGAGGTTAATTTAGAAGGAAGGAGATAAGCATTCACTAAGTATTTACTGTGTACCAAATCCTTTACAAATATCCCATTGGATTCTCACAACAATCTTGGGAGGTAGATGCAATTTTTATGCCCATTTTACAGTTGAGGAAACTGAGGTAAATGGGTTAAGTGACTCGCCCAAGGTCACCCAGCTAGTGAATATGTGAGGCAGAGTTGGAACTCAGGTCTTCCTGACTCCAAGCCCAGTGTGGTACCCATCTATAAATATATATACATATATAAAAGAGATACAATGTGTTTTGAAGGAGAAGACACTAGCAACAGGAGGGATAGCTGAGCCTTAAAGGAAGTTGAGACCCAGATGGGGGGAAGGATTTAAAGAATTGGGGGGGGGGCAGCTGGGTGGCGCAGGTGGATAGAGCTCTAGCCTTGGAGTCAGGAGAACCAGAGTTCAAATCCTGCCTCAGACACATAATGCTTCCTAGCTGTGTGACTCTGGACAAGTCACTTAACCCCACTTGCCTCACAAAAAAACAAAAAAAATACCAGTAAGGAAGGCCAGATTGGCTAGACCATCGTATGGATGGAGGGAAGTGACGTGCAAGGTCTTGACTGGCAGGTTGGAGCAGACTTGTGAAGGACTTTCTATGTCCAACACTGGAGTCGTACTTTATTCTAAAGGTAATAAGAAGTCACTCTAGTTTATTGATGTCATTAGACTTGAGCTTTGGGATGATCAGCTAAAGATGGCTTAGCAATGGGAGAAACTTCAGGCTTTGAACTGGGGATGAGTGCCCTCAACAGCAGAAGGGACACATTAGATGGATGGATGGCTGTGGACGGGGCTGGGGAGGTGAGAGGAAGGTCAGTTCAGGTTTAGGCTTTTATTGAGGTTCACACCCTTTGCTTGGTTGAGCTGGGGGAAGGGTGGAATGTTGAAGATGGGGCCTGCCAGGAGAACAAGTCATCCTTGACCCCAGGAAACTTGGGCTTGCTGGGGAGGCTGGACTTCAGCATGCAAAGCGCAAGGAAATGATCTAGGACCTCACCATATGGTATGAACCGAAGGTGCTCAGAGGAAGGAAAAGGGCCTTGGGGCTGCAGAAAGGGGCATCCAGGAGCAGCTGGGACATGAGCCAGCCCTGACACCAAGAGAGGGGAGGTCCAAGTGGACTGATAGCACAAGCAAAGGCTTGAGGGTAGGAACAGGTTTGGAGGATGGGAAGAGTCTGATTTGGATGGAAGAGGGGAATCTGTAGGAGAAAAAGTTGGAGAGGAAGTCAGGGGCAGATGGAGGAGGCTTCTGAGCAAAGAAGCTTGGCCTCGGTCTCGTACTGGAGACAAGGTTATGTCGCAGAGCGGCTGGCCTGTGGAGGCTGGAATCTCGACTGTTCCACTTATCGCTGGGTGATTCTGGGCCAGACATCTCACCTCCTACTCCTCACTTTCCTCCTCTACAGAATGAGGAGCCTGGACCTTTCAGCTCTGCTTCTAATACAGTTTTTGAAAGAGCCTCACTGGACTTATCTATAAAATGGGGGATAATAATACCTATTATTCCCTATGGTTATCCTAAGTTCTTGAGCAGAGTGGTGATTGGGTCAGGAAGATGACCAGAGAGGCCAGTGAAGTATGAATGGGAAATGAAGAGAGAATGGAGGCAGGGAGATCAGTTAAGAGGCTATTGTAATAATCTGGACAAGAGGAGTAGGTAGGTGGCGCCATAATAGATACAGCACCAGCCCTGGAGTCAGGAGGATGTGAGTTCAAATCTGACCTGGGACATTAACCAGCTGTGTGACCCTGGGCAATTCACTTGACCCTGATTGTCTCTTAAAAAACAAACAAAAAATTCCAGACAAGAGGGGATGATGGCCTGAACTAGGGACAGATGGGAGAGACATTTCAGAAGAAGGATGGACGGGACTTGGCCGAAGGTAAAGGTGGGGAACCTGCAGCTTTGAGGCCATATGTGGAATTCTAGGGCCTCAAGTGCGGCCTTTTGACCGAATCCAAGTTTTACAGAATAAATCCATTTATTAAGGGGATTTGTTCTGTGAAGTTTGGATTCAGTCAAAGGGCCGCACTTGAGGACCTAGAGGGCTACATGTGACCTTGAGGCCGAAGGTTCCCCGCCCCTGGCGCAGGGGAAAGCCTTGCTGGACTGTTGTTTTTGTTTGTTTGTTTATTTTGTTTTGTCTTTGTATCTGTAGTGCCTGGCAGTTTATTAAACATTGACCACATGCCAGGCACTGTGCTCATCTCTGTGGATACAAAGTAAAAGTGAAAATGTTCCCTGCCCTCAAGGAGCTTACATTCAACACATACATACAGGGTAAATACTAGGTAGGCTTAGAAGGACAGGACTAGTGCCTGGGGGGCCCAGGAAAGGCCTCCTACAAGATGACACTGAGCTGAGTCTTGAAGGAAGCCAAATGATCTAAGCATAGGAGAGCAGGATTGGTTAGAACCTTCCCTACAACCTTGGAATGCTACTCATCCCCCCCACTCTACTCCCAGAGCCCTGAGGGCAGGGGGCCCTCTAGGCTGCTGCCTCCCAACCCTGAACTCCACCTCTGCAGGTGATGCGCTGGGATGGTTCCATGTTCCGGCTGCTACAGGTGCTGCCATCCCGCGGTTCCCTCATCTTCCAGCCATTGCTCATCGCTGGGGATCAGCTAGTCCTGCTGGGTAGTGACTTCACCTATAGCCTGGTGTTCCAATATGAGCCGGACGTGGGGCGCCTGAAGCTTCTGCAGGAGCTGGGGCCCCCAGTGCCCTCAGCGCCCCGGGCCTTCTCCTTCATCTCTGTGGCTGGCCGAAGGTTTCTCTTCACTGCCAACTTCAAAGGCCCCACCCAAGTCTACCAGCATCTCATCCAGGACCTCAGTGCCTGACTAGGAAGGGATGAAGACCCCCTCTTCTTGTCCCATGTTCCCAGTGGGGCTGGAAACTCTTGTGACTGACAGGCAGCATCTCCACAAGGAAAGAGCCTGGGGCTGGGAAGTCAGGAGACTTACAGTGGCTGAGCCACATCTAATATACTGAGCAAGACCATTGGCTTGTTTCAGCCTATTTCCTTTCTTGGGAAAAACAAAGGGGTTGAACTAAAAGGCCTTAAAGGCCGCCTTCCAGTTCTAGCATCTTGTGAGTCTTTGAAAGCGGAGTGACGATGGGGCTGAGGAGGTATTCCTTGGAGGAAAACTCCGTGTTTGAAGAAGACTTGGGTTCCATTCTTTGCTCTGTTATTGCAGAGCCTGTTTCTTCATCTATAAAATGGGTAGATAGTGGCAGGGAGTTGGACTGGATAATCTCTAAGGACCCTTCCTGCTTTAACTCCCATGACCCAGAAGTCTATTGGGACCATCTCGCAGGACAATCTCAGATTCTGAGCCCTTGGCCCAGACAATGACCCTGACCCTCCTGGCCACTGAGGGGACCTGACCTCCTGAGAAACCCCATATTGAGTCCAGAGCACCCCAATAAGCAGGAAGCTGCCCCTGACATGGTGGCAACTGGGTAGAGGCACCAGGAGCCGGAGAAATGGCAATGATGGACCAATGTGGCCAACTCTGGACTTGGAACCAGGAGAGCTCAGTTCCAATCCTGTTCACACACCAAATTGTGTGATTCTGGGCACATTTAATTATTCCATGCCTCAGTTTCCAGATCTGTAAAATGAAGATTATCCCACTTGTGCCCCTACCTCACAGGGGTGTTGTGAGGAAAGTGCTTTGTAAATCTTCAAGCACAGAAACCTGAGTGGTTGTTTTTATATGTGGAAAGGGTAGGGGGGCAGAAGAGAGGAGCTTGGAGTAGAGGTCCAGAAATGTTTCTCGGGCTTGAGTTGAGAAATGGCTGATGTTGAGGGTTTCTAGAGTGTTTTGCTGTGAGGGGACACTGGTGGTTTATGAGTGAGAGGGGAAAAGGAAGAGGGGTGCTATGTGTGGATAAGGGGTGATGGGGGAAAGGAAGGAAAGGCACATCAGGAAAAGGGAGGGCACATACGTCCTGAGGAGTGGGACAGGTGTAGTAGTGAGGAGAGACAATGTTTTCACATGTAGGGGAAGAGGGTGTTGAATGTGTAGGGGTGAGGGGAGGAGGGGGCTGGGTAGGAAGTGAGTGTGGGGAGGGGAGGAGCTGTTACATGGGGTGGGAAATGTTTTGTACAGAGGTTGCTGTATGGGAAGGGCTGAGAGCCATGTTGGAGGTTTATGAGTGGGATAGGGGCTTGTGTATAGGGGAGAAGTGTTATATGGGAAGGGGTGGGAAGAGGAGGGGAGAAGGGGATCATGGGCAGGGGCTTTGGGAGAGGGTATTCTGTGCTTGGAGAGCTAGGGGAAGGTGGGTAACCTGAGATACCCCATCCCCACTTTAGGTTTTTTCTGCCTTCCCCCACTCCATCCTTTCCACAGCCAAGCCTTGATCACTACTCCCAGAGTCAAGATTCTCCTCCTAACCATGCCCCCCATGAGCCCTCCCATAGAGGCCTGAGCCAGTCTGCAGGGCAGGGCACATGCACAGGGAAGAGGTGGGAAAGGACAAGCATCATTTTGGCTGAGGTCCTGAGGGCTACTCAGGACTGAGGGCCATTTGTGTTGTGGCAACTGGTAACTTCAGGTACCCAGAATCTTAGAAGGGAGCAACCCAGGAGCAGCAAGAAGAGGGTGGGCACAGGGGGCCTCCACACATACAGGGATGGGGAGCCCTTCCTGGCAGAGGGTGTCGTCAGGTTTGAAGACGCAAGGAGAAAGTGGACCCTTGGGATCTTTCAGGACCACAGGAGGGTATCCTACAGTACAGGGGATCCTTGGGTCTTTGGGGTCCTAGGGGAAGATATGGTGGGATAGAATAAATGGTTAAGGTTTGGCATAGTGTATACTGGGGGTCTTTGGGGTCAGACCTGAGTTCCTGTGGGTAGGTTATTGTCAGAGCTTAGCCAAGCTGTCTTTCCTGGGTTATTGTGGGAAGCTTGGGGTCTGATGCAAACTTACACTGGTGGAGGAGGGCCAACCAGGGCCCAGGATGGACTCTGCCTTGATAAACTCCAGCATCGGGGTTTGGGGGCCACTCTTTTTAGGGGCTGTCAGAGAAAGTGGAAGCCAAACATCATCTTCCCAACAACGGAATTTAAGAGAGAAGGAGTTTATGTGATCCTGAGCCCACTTGGGAAATGGCCCAAGCAAGGGTCACTGCCCCCTCAGCTTCCCAGATCCTCTCTCCTCCTTAAGTTCCACAGGGTTTCATCCCTTTCCACCCCCATCCACTCTGTTCTCCCTCTCAGCAGCCGCTTCTAGGACATCTTGTGGTGAAGATCTTGGAATGGCTTAACTCAAAAATAAATGTAAAAAACCCCTTCTTCCACCTGGGGACAGGCTCCCAGAGAGATGATGGGTCAGCATTGGCAGTGGGCAGAAGGGCAAAGATGTAGGTGATGTAAGGCCGAAGACAGGGAAAGAAGGAACCCATCTTTCCTAGGGAAGAAAGAAGGGGTCTGCAGGGTCCGGGAGGCTGGTACCACCTCAGCAGTTACTGGCGGGGCCTAGAAGGGTGAGGAGTAGAGGAGAGAAAGATTAGATCTTCTAGTTTCTGAACTCATTACTTCACTTTTCCTTCTCTGTCTTTACATATACATGTCTCCATTCCATTCCTCTCCAGATAAACCCTGCTAGACTGGAAGTACATATCCCAGCTGGTGGGATTTCTCCTGCCCTGGGGTTATAGAGAAGGGAAAGGGGGTGGGAATAGGAAAGCAGCTCAGACATAGATCCAACCCCACCGTGCTTCCTTCCAGTTCCCTCAGACAGGCATCCCCCAAATCACCGATTTTGAAAGCGCGAAGGGATCTGAGTGGCACTCTGATCCAACCCATACCCAAAAGGAATCTTCCTTGTGACCCATCAGACCTCACTAAATAATGCTAAGGGTTAGGGGCATTAGGAATTTGGGGTCCCTTGTGCCATCAACATTTCCCGACAAAAGGGGAATCTCCCTTTAAACTGTTCATTACAGTCAATGTTTCCATGGAGAGGGAATGTAAGAGGATGGGTCTGCGGAGCCACCAGGATTTGGGTCCCCCATGGGGCCACAGACTCTGGGAGCAGAACAGGTAAAAGGACTGGGGCCTCCATTTTCCTTACCCGTGCTTCTGGCTGAATTTACATTTGCATTTGCCACCTGCATGAGAAAGAAGAAAGGAAGAGGATGAAGGGAAGTGACCCAAGGAAGGGTCACTGCCCCCTCAGCTTCCCAGATCCTCTCTCCTCCTTAATGCCCCAGACTCACTCATGAGGACGATGATGCCCACAGCACACAGGATCCCAGCACAGATCAAGCCACCCACACGTAGGCTGTGCCAGTCTGTGGGAGAGAGGCAGAGACGATCGACATCTGGCAGCCTCCCTCCCCTTCCGCAGAGGCCAGCTCACCTTCTCAGGGAAGCCACCGTTGAGTCAAAGCCCAGCTGGCCACATATCCCTTTCTATTTTGATGACATGTGAATTTCTAAGTATTCTTTCTCTTTCCCTCTGGGCCTTGTCGCTTCATCTGGACTGTAAGCTCCCTCAAGGCAGGAATTTCCTCTCCCCAGCCCACAGCTATTGTCTCTCTTTCACCTCTCCTCCAGACTGCACTGCTCCAAGCAGTTTCCATCCTCTTCACCCCAGGACCCTGGGTGGGCAAAACCAAGGAAGTTCTTACCGTAATAGAAAGGGCTGTCCTTGTCTGCAGGAAAAAAGAGACAGTGAGAACAGGATCAGGAGGGAGGGTGCCTGCACCCCCAAGGAAGTTTGGGAGGGGAGTAAGAAGCTTGGGAGTTAGGAGCAGCTAGGTGGCACAGTGAACAGAGCCCTGGTCCTGGAGTCAGGAGGACCTGAGTTCAAATCCACCCTCAGACACTTGTTAGCTGTGTGACCCTGGGTAAGTAACTTAACTGTAATTGCTTCCCTCCCCCCAAAAAAAAGAAGCTTGGGGTAACTCACCAGCTGGGTCGTTGGCTTCCAGGGCAGGCAGAACTGAGAGAGAGAGAGAGAGGGAGAGAGAGAGAGAGAGAGAGAGAGAGAGAGAGAGAGAGAGAGAGAGAGAGAGAGATCAGGGAGTGGGGTGTTGGTTTCTGAAGGCAACCTGAGGCTGGCTAACCCTTGCCTTTTAGCGGGTGGCTCTGGGTACAGGCAGATCCTTCACTAGGGGTGACTGCTCAGCCTGCTGGTGGTGCTATGCCATATGGAGGTTGGCACAGGTGTGCCTCAGAATGGGAGATCAGGCAAACTGTCAGGGTAGACAACAACATTCCTTCTCCTCCTCAAGGTAAGGAAGAGAGAAGGAAATGAGCCTTCACTGTCTAGTTTGAGGCTCCTTCTAAAGCCACTTTTGTCTGCCATCAGTTGCTGTTCTTAGCCATGTCTAATAAGGCCTCCCAGCCCATCAGCACCTCTTCTCTTAGGGACTTAGGATTTCCCAGTTTCACTCCAGTTACTGCTATTGACTCCAGCGTCTTAGATGCCCTTTCACAATACTATTGACTATTTCTGGCTTCTGATTTGAATGTGGAATGGGGAGGACAGGTGTTTCAGCTGTCTTTTTGCCCCTCTCTGGGAATATAGACTCCTAGTGACCCTGATTTCTTCTTCAGAACACATTTCCTCTTTCTTTCATTTGCCTCCTAGTATAGAAAAGTGACTGCCGTCTCTGCAATGGTTTCAGGAGTGCTCCCCAACTTGGGTTGAGGGAAATGCAGGAGGATCAGAGGTGCTGTCTTTGGGTCAAGTGAGGGAGAAGTCTAGGGAAAGGAACAGGTTTTCAGTCTGAAACTGGCACTCACCTGCCATCATCAGTAGAATGCCAACTGTTACCCCGTGCATCTTGAAGTTCAGAAGGTTGGGCCCTGTTGGGAGGAACCTCAATAGGACATGTGCCTCTCCTTCTTATCCCCCTCTCCCCTCCTCCACAACTCAGTACAGCAAACTCAAACACATGTACACATGGGCACAACACAGAGACTACAGCCTTTCTGTTGAGCCCAGGGTGGCGATAAGAAGTGAGAAAGCAGATAAGAGCAGGAGAAGGAGCTGGGGGAGGGCAGAAGTGTCTCGAAGGGGGAAATAGGAGAGCTATGTTTTGTGTGCTGGAGTGGTGGCAAATGGGGTGGGCATGGAAGAGTCTGAGCTAGTTTGGGGTAGGGGTGCTTGAAAGGGAGGAGTCTGGGGCTAGGTGGCAGGGTGCCTCTATTTGGAACAGGCTGAGGTTTCCTTGCTAGGCAGTCTCTCCCACAGACAGCTTGGAGCCTGAACGGCCCATCCCATCTTTGGGCTGGGGTCCAGAGCCTGGGGCTGGCCTGGCATGTCTGTCTGCTCTTGGTGGGGGGGAGGTCATGGTTGTGGTTGGTTGTGGGTGGGCATCAGAGCAGAGAGGATAGCTGAGCCCCAGGGGGGAGGAGGCTGCTGCCAGAGCTGAGAAGAAGCTATTTTACCAATTCCTCCACCCTGGCTTCACCCGTCTTACTTTTGTGCCCTTGGAACCCCCACCCCCATCTTCCACTTTCCAGGCCACTTCTACTCTACCCAACAAGTCAGGGCCCATCTATCTGCCTTTGGGAAACCTCCCTACAGTCTCTTTCTGGGTTTAGTATGGGCACGTGGTATTTCTTCCACCCCTTCCCCCACTTACCATGGTGTCACCGCTGATCTTTTGGGCAGAAAGGCAATGTTCTCGTTACTGTTGACTCATGGGATCTCCATGTTACTGCTAACTTAACAGAGCGTTTGTCATGCCTCATTAATGCCACCTTCCTGAGCTATGTGATTGTGGTCACTTCCTGGCTCCCTGGTACTACAGGGGACCTCTTTACCTTGAGCCCATCTCTTATTCCAGGTGACTAGCACAACATCCTCCATTATATGCATTACTACTGCCAGAGGGCCATGTTAATATTCTGCATTCACTCTGGTTACCCCTCAGAATACACTGAAGCAAATTCCTCCCTTACTTCCTATTATTCCATGTTACCCTGGTATCTGGTTATATAGCCCTGCTTCCCCTGTTATTTCATATTACTGTGGTACACTTCATTACTTTTTGTTAATGCTGTGGTTTCCTTGTGACTTTGATATACTACCCTGCCCTTATTTATGTTATATTACCACATTCCATCCTGGTTTCTGTGCCCAAACCTAGTTTGTGACTTAAACTCTCAGTAGACTGTACCCTTTGCCTCAGTAGCCATATTTATAACTAGGTTTCCTTCATTTAGTGGGCACGTTGTTGCCATTTCATTCTAACCATTCCAACCCCTTTTGTGTTCTTCCAACAGACTGAGATGCATCTCCCTCGAACTTTCTCCATTACAATCGCCATCATGCATTGGGTGCCCCGCACTGCCCAAAGTGACCAGCGGTACTGGCTTTTCTGCCACCTGGGGTCCTCTTCCTTACTCCTCCTGTATCTCATTGCCTAATGCCCTGCTCTATTGCAAATTCCTGCTGTTTTCATCATTACATTTCTCCAATACTTTAAAATCCCAAAGTGCTACCTATCCCCAAGCTCTGAGGGCTTTGAATCCCAGGCAAAATCTCACTCCTCCAGTTCCATTCCACCAAGTGTGGCCTTCTCAGAGAGAGCCATTCCCAAAGCCCAGGAATAAGGGAAGAAGGCCCTGAGCAGAAGGTGGAAGAGGAGGAAGGCACGTCAGGGGAGAGGTACAGAAGGAGAGATAGCAGGCGCAGGGAGGTGGGAAGTTTGAGCTGGGTGAAGCAGAGCCTAGGCAGAGGGGACACATATAATAAATGGGGTTAGAGTAGGGGGCTCCTGATTCTCACCTGGACTGCAGGATAGAGCTGGGAAGTAGAAAGCACCACAGCTACAGCAGCTGGGCCTGACCCAGCGCCTTTATACAGAACAGACACGCCCTAGGCAAATCCAGGCAGGTAGGGAACAGGTCTGACTCCCTGGGGCTCTGGCAGGGCTCCCCCCCACCCCTTGCTCTTAAAGGGGCAGCTCAGCTTCTCTTCCCAGAAGGCCCCATCGGCCTGCCTTGACCCCCATTCAGCCTCTAGGCCCCGACAGAATGGGAGGCTAAAGTTAGTTTCCATATACACACATAAGGAGAGGAACAAGGCTCCTCTTTGGAGAGCAGTGGGGATCCTTTCTGAGGCCTTTAACCTTCCTTGTCTACTAAAGCCCATTCCAGGGGGGCTAGCAATAAAGAGGCCTCTGAGGAAAGACCTTTGTAGCAGTTTTGAAAGACCCAGCTATTGCTAAGATCACTAGGCCACAGGGAGGGGTGGGGGTGGGGAAAATTCATATGAAAGTAGAGGCAGGAGACCCCTTATGGCCCCTTTAGATCAGGGGCTGCAACCCCACCCAACCATAGAGCATCAGAGCAGATGAAGTAAAGAGGCCAAGGCACTCTCCCCGTACCCACCCCTTTCCCCAATAAATATTTTGAATTGCTGGGACAGGCTGCCTGGGCCCTGAGAGGAGAGTGCAAACCGCAAGGTGGAATGTGATAGCAGGAGATGGAGTACCTGGGACCTGGGAGTGGCCTGGGCTGGGTAGAGTAAGGGCTGCTATTAAGAAACAGGATGCACATGTAAGTATTGACTGACTGATCACTGCTTGTGGACTGAAGTTCTGCTCTCTCTCATTTCTCCTCCCTACCCGTAACATTTACTCCCCCTCCCTCCCAACATTCCTCCAGACAGGGGTCCATATGGAGCCCAGGATGGCCCTGGCCTTTCCAGTTGGGGTAACCACCGCCCCAAGCTGCTCCTTCCCCACAGAGAGAGCTTTGTTTGGGGGCTGGCCTGGGAACAAGGGGCTATTGAGTGGCTGGCAAAGGATCGGGGTCATAGGGAGGGGGCAGGGGCTGGCAAAGGAGATGCTTCTGTTCCTGCTCTGGTCACCATCTGGAGCCTGGGTGCCCCCACTCTGCCTCCTGGGGCGGGGCCAAGAGGACCACAGGCACAGGAGCCAAGCAAAGGGATGGCTATGAGGCAGAAGAGTCAGGGTTGAGAGAAGGCCTTGGCACCTCTTCAAAGGTTAAGGTGGGAATGGAGAAATCTGGGGGAGGGAAGGAATCGTTCTGGAGCAGAGTTGAGGGGGATAAATGCTTAGGAAAAATGGCTCAGGGAGAGACAGGCCCTGTTACTCCCCAGCAGAGGGAAGGGGAGAGAGAGAGAAAGAGAGAGAGAGAGAGAGAGAGAGAGAGAGAGAGAGAGAGAGAGAGAAAGAGAGAGAAAGGGAAACTCCCCAGAGCCATCTGCTGTCTGGATGCAGTTTCTCCAAGGCATTTTTCAATTCCTCTGAGTCAGATCCAGCTGGCCAGGGCCTTGAGCCCCACCTTGCCCTCTGCAGCAGGGGAGTTCAGCCCCCTGCTTCTGGAGTCTGAATGGGCCAGAGCAAGCATCTTGGGTGCCCAAGCACTTGGAGGAGGGAGAAGGTTAGAGGCTTGATCTGGAGAGAGATGGGGGCTTGGTGGGGTGAGAGTTGCTGCAGAAGATTCAGAGATGTTGATCCTAAGCATGGCAGCTTCTCTCTTCCTTGACCATGAAGGTCCCAGTCACCCTGGAAAGTCCCCTGACAGTCTTTTTTTCCCAGAGGCTACAAGGAGACCCCAAGAAGGCTCAGCCATGGCACAGCATTGCCCTCTGCTGGGGAAGCTCCAGAAATGTGCCACCAGACTTACCTAGACACCCTGCCAGGTCCTGTTGCCCAGGTCAGGGCAATTCAAACGGATACACGTTTATTTAGCGTCTGCTATGTGCAGAACACCGTGGGCAAGGACGTTAGATCCCTGCCCCATGCCTCATGTCCCCTGCCCCTTGCCCCATGCAAGGTGGCCCGTAGCTTTCCCCTGTTATGCTACAGCTTCCCACTCTTGGCTAACAAGGTGGTCCCCGTGTCCCTCCTCCTCTAACCCTGTAGTAGGAAGGCAATAACGCATGGAGAATATTGATCTGCCCCACTTTTCCCTGGTCAAGCTCTGACCTTTCTTAGTCCCTGTGAACTAGAATTATGCAATCCATGTCAGCCCTTCAATCAACAGATCTTTAATGGACACTTCTTGTGGTCACCACCCTTGAAATCTATACTGACGTACTCATTTCATACGTTTTATTTCCCCAAATAGGCAACCAATTCCCCCTGAGCAGGGACTGAGTCAAATCCTTGTATTGTTGCCTCCCCTACAGCATCAGGCACAGGACTGGGTAGGGGGAAATATTTATTGAATAGATGAATGAAGGAATGCTGACAACTCGTGGGGGAGAATAGGAGTGAGAAACACGAAAAGATGGAATATTGATGACTGAGGCCCCTTGGACTCTTGTCTCTCTCTCCTTCCTACCTCCCCCACCTTGAAAAAATGCTGAGGCCCAGCAGTTCGGTCTTGGTTCTGGAGCAGAGCAAGGAGGACAAGAGCCAAAGCTGTACTCAGCTTGTGAGTGCCTGGTGTTGCTTCTCTTCTCTTATTTCCCACCCCACCCCACCAAGCCTTTGGGAGCCAAAAGACGTATGTGATCCATAGCTCTCCTTCCTCAGCCTTTGGGCCAGGGGCCAGATGGCTGGCTTAGGAGGGTGCTTATGCTAGTGTTTTCATCATGACTGGGTTGAATAGTAGAAGAGGTTTGGGGGGATTTGTTGCTTGGATGACGCTGTCAGTCCCCTGTTTTCTGAGCTCCAGAGGCACTAGGTTCAGACCTAGTCGGTGTGGTTCCTCTGTAGACAAATGTGGCTACTCCATGGTCTCCACAGTAGCTCTGAAGCATCCTCAGGGCTCAGCTCCTGTAGGAGGAAAGGAAGACGGGAGTCCACAGGGGAAGGAGCAAGCCGTGTGGGATAGAGGCATGAGCCCCTGACGAAGAATTAATTCCAAGATTTGGTGCCAGGCTGAGCTCTCTTATTCATAATTAGGGAACGTTCATCTGTCAGACAAGGATATCAACGGTACCTGCCCTGTCTGCCTTCACAATGGTTGGTGTGAAGGTCATCAGAAATAATTCATGTGACAGCCCTTTGAGAATTGTCCTCCGCTGACTGATGGTTCCCTCTAAGCAAGAAGGCACTGGCCTGTTGGTGGATGGGGCTCAGAGAGGATGGGAGAAAAGCTTGCCTGGCAAATTCTGTGGTGGCATCAGGGGATAAGGAAAGAGCTAGGCTCTATGGTGGGCATGGCACAGCTCAGAGCACCATTCAGTGCATAATAAAGACCTTTGAGGAGCAGGGACTGGATGCTTGAATTCTGGGAGGGATGGAGACTGGGAAGCAATATGGCACACATTGAAATCCCAGCTCTCTTACTTAATCATCTCTGGGATAAATCGCTTAACCTCTTGGCCTCAGTATTCCTCTCTCTAACACAGGGATGGGACTAGACCCCTACAGTGCTTTCTAACTCTTGAGTATGATCTGCGGTCAGCAGTCCCAGTATAGAGGGAAACCCAGTGTGGGAGCACTGTCTCTTTCCCCAAGACTTTATGGGATAGGCAAGAGGGGGGAGAGGACACTCACAAGGAGATGCCGACCTTGGTGGCCACAGTCATGCTCTGGGGCTGGCATGAGCCAGGTACCCAACATCATAGACACAGCCCTCGGCACATGGGAGCCCGCACTGCAGCTCAGAGCCAGGGCAGGAGCGGTGGGGAGGGCAGGCACAGAGCTCGTAGTGGCTGTGGGGAGGACACTGGGGAGCTGTGGAGAGAGAAGAGGAGAGGCGCTGAATTGTGCACCCACACTAAGCAGCTCTGTGGCCACATGGAGCCTCTGATGTCTGAGAGAAGTCAGAGTGAAGGGCAAGCACCCTTTCTCCTGGGGCTCTCTTGCCCTGAAGCGGTGACAGAAACATCTCTAAAAGTCTTCTTGGAAAGCTCCTCTTCCTAGGAAGCCCCAGAGACTTCGAGAAGCTACTCTATTCTCTGTCCCTTCAGAATATTGGACTCCGGACTGGTTTGGTGCTTTCTAATTGCCAAGGGCATTTCCCAGGGGTAGCGAGCTATGGATTCTTTGGGTCTTTCCACAGCCCAAGCCCACACATCTATACATAGATGGTGGTCCTTTAATAGAGGGCCTCAGAGTCAGTCAGAAGAGACCCTTCCTAGCTATGTGACTGTGGGCAGATCATTTCAACCCTCAGCTGCAATATTCTCATTGGTAAAGAGGACTAGCTGATGTGTATGATGGTATTTTGTAAGCCATATAGCATGACAGCAGCCCTGGTTATCATTTTGATAGAGAGGGAGGGCAATGGTTTGACTGTTGGCCATCATCTCCTTGCTTTGGCTTGGGCCTGGTATTGGGCCTATGGACCTGAAGCCCCAAAAGCATAATATGGGAGGATGGGGACCTGCCCACTCACCACAGAAGGTGGGGCTCCTCCAGGCCCCGATGGTGACATTTGCTCGCTGACAGGCAGCAGCATAAATCTGGATGGTTAGGCATAAGATGCGGTTGCTGCCCATGGAGAGGCATAGGTCATTGGCACAGGCAGAGGCAAAGGGCTCTGGGTCGATCTCCATGTGACAGGAGGAAAAGGGCCCCTGGGGGTCCTGGAGGATCCAGCACTGGGCCTTGGCGGGCACAAGCTGTTCCTGTGCCACGCACGCTGCACAGCCATTGGCACAATTGTCTTTATAGCCATCATCCGGCTTCCGTTCAGAGGCAGAGTAAGTCACTGGGTCCCCCGCTGGGGAGCCTTTTGGTAGCTGGAAGTCATCACGAGGATTCCCGTTGAAGTTCCCACATAGCCCACAAGTGTGGCCCATGTAATTTGGGGGCAGGGTAAGGAAGAGGCTGTGGGCCAAGTCAGAGGTGAGCACCAGCCCAAAGTCTGTCTGCAGCGTTAAGTGGAACCCATCCTGGTACAGGAGAATGCCACCCGTATTGAGGCTCAGCGGAAGGGTGAACGTGGCCCCATTAACCTGGCAGGATGGAAAGTGGACAACTTAATAACCACATTCTCTTGCCCCACCTTCCCGGTACCTTCTTAGGAAGATTGGGGAATTTGAGGGCAAGGGGTGGAAAGTCACGGGGAAGAGGATTCCAATTGCCCCCAGATCATCCAAGGGAAGGTCTGCTGATGGCCAGGGGGAACTGAACCAGGAGTAATGAAATGACCGAGTAAACAATCCATGGGCAGAGAGAGAGTTCACATAGATATTAAACACATAGCACACATATGTATGCATATATTCACATCTATATATATATATATATATACTGTTGCAAGAGGCAGGTATGCCTCTGTGTTTTCCAAACCCCAGCAATGGGGCTCTGGTGGGCATTTACCTCTCCAGACTAAAGAGAAGGGTTCTATGGAAGAGGTAGATTCAGACTGCTCATGCCAGCTCAGGTCGGTTCTGTATTCATGTTTCAGATCACTGACCCTGTTTTTGGCAGTGTTCCAAGATGGGAAGCAGTGTCTGGTAGGGAGCCTCTAGCCCCTGAGGCCATATGTAAGTGGTGGGTCCAATCAGTGTTCTTCTTTCCCTCGCCATGTTGCTCTGAGCCATTTGGAAAAAGAGGTTTCCTGCAAAGAAGAACTTACCTGGACTGGCCCTGGGTTTTCTTTCTGAAGATGGATCTGGGTCCCATTGACCAGGATAAATACCTCTGAGATCACAGATGTGGGGGTACTGAGGGCGTTCTCCTTCCTGACTTCCACTCTGAAAAAAGGCAGGGTCTCCAAGGAGCCACATAGCTCAGAGAAGATGTATTTGCAGGTGCCCGGGAAGTCATAAGTCTTCCCATCAAAGGTGATGTACTGTGATTGTCCTAATATCTGGCAGGTACTGGGGACAAGCGGGTGGCATCCCAAGGTACCCTTCAGGGTACCACACCCCTCCTCAGGTCCACAAGAAGAGTTGGAACAGTGCACCTCATGGGTGGAGGCATCACAATGACAGAAACGCTGGCAGTCTTCCCCTTCCCAGAAGGTCTCCCCAGCCAGGTAGTATCTGCCCTCCAAGGTGCAGCCACACTGAGCTGGGGGCACACAGTCAGTGCCACTCAGCACGAAGCCCTGGTCACACTGGCAGCCCTCTTGGCAAGGTGTCTGGCAGCTGGCAGTCAGATTGGGCTCAGCACAAGAGTTAGGGCAAGAGGATCCACAGAGCTCATAGTGGCTGTGGGTAGGACAGGCCATCTCTGAAAGATAGGTCAGGGGAGAGGTTTGAAGGGAATAGTGCAGGACTTTGGAGAGCTACTTTGCTGGCAGAGAAGACAGAGGTAGAGAAAGCAACATCAAGGACAATGTAGGAAGAAGACCCGGGAGCACTAGGAGGTTAAATGGACCTGGAATCGAGGGAAGATTGGAGGGTGTTCTATGGGGTACCACAGTGCGCATATTGCTGATATTCTGGATATATGAAAAGAGAACCAAGTGCCTTCATGAGGATTTGTGCGAATCATCCCTACCTCTGTACTGAGGAATGTCCAGCTTATTTATGGAGACCCTCTGAGTATAAAATACCTTCTTGAGCCCGAGCCCTGGAGAGGGCAACTCTTGATTGGATGACAGAGTTAGCTCCTACCCCAAGGGAAACTGTTCCATTGGAAGAGTCACGGCCTCCAACCTCAGGGCCTCCCTTGGTGTGATGAGAGAAATATGATCCCTCCCTTCTGGGAGCCTTGGGTGCAGTGGAATTTAGGAAGGCTTTCTAGAGTTAATTTTGCTCTAGCTAAAGAACCAAGGATCTCATCTGGGAATGGCTACTCACCACATCCCACTTGATGTCTCCAGGGCTGAATGGAGAGTCCATGGCGCTGGCACTGCTGAGCATAGCTTCCCAGCACCTCACATAGGATCTCCTGGGAGCCCTCACTGGCACAGACATCGTGGATGCAGTTCTCCGTGTGGATGTGGGCCTCTGTCACCTCGTGGCAAGCAGAGAATGGCCCATCCTGGTCTTTCAGCAGTCCACAGGAAGCCTGGGACTCGTATTGGGCTTTTTTCTCTGGTGGGCACTTTGGAGCCAACCCCACTTCAGAGCAGGGACTAGGGAATCCTGCCTCCTTCCAGCTATTGGCAAATGTATCGGCATCAGGGACGAATGTGCCATCAGGGCCCCGCAAGTCATCCTTAGGATTCCCATTGAAATTCCCACCCAGACCACACAGGGAACCTGCATACGTATCAGGTACTGAGATCCACAGGGAATGAGATTCATCAAAGGAAACAGAGAGGCCAAAATGGAAGTGGAGCACAGCCGCAGAGGGGCTGGAAAAGGCGTGCAATCTGCCGCCAGCCAGCACCAGAGGCAGAGTCATCTGGGATCCATCCACCTGCAAGGAAGACGTCCGTGACAACCACAGACCCCCTTTGGTCTATGCTTCCCCATCCTCCTCACCGGGAATCTTTCTTCTAGGACTCCTTATTGCCTTTCTTTCTTCATTCTTCTGAAGCTGCCAGCAGTAGGGGCATGATGGGATGGCAGGAAAAGGGACTCAGTCCATGATAGAGCCTGTTCTGGGAGAGCTGATAGCCGCACATCCTCCCTTCAGGTCCTGCCTCTGCCTGTCTTTTCTGCCCCTCTGGGGAAATTTTCACTCTTCTTTCCTCCCTTCTATTGCCCTCTTCCCAGTATCTATATCCAAGATTGTGTGCTCCCAACTTCTGGCTCATGCTAGAGGTAACATCTCCTTCCCTTATGGGCAGTGATACCTATAAAGAAGGGGCCACTAGAGCGCTGGGCTTGGAATCAGGAAGACTTATCTTCCTGAGTTCAAATCCATCCTCACTTACTAGCTGTTTGACCCTGGGCAAGTCACTTAACCCTGTTTGCCTCAGTTTCCTCATCTGTAAAATGAACTGGAGAAGGAAATGGCAAACCACCACAGGATATTTGCCAAGAAAACCCCAAATGGGGTCATGGAGAGTCAGACATGACTGAAACTACTCAACAATAACTCACTTGGTCCAGAGCTTTTCTGTAGCGCCTTTGTGTATTATTCCTAAAATTGTATTTTCCCATTTCCCCTGTAAGTAAGCCTCAGAAATAAAAGTCAGAATCAGGAGTGTGTGGAGAAGCAGTAGAGGGAAAGTAGGAAAGGAATGACAACTCAAGAATCTGGTTATAATCAGCGGCAGAAGAAAGTACTTGGTGTTCAGGCACCGAGGAAGAGGAGTGTCAGGGACCAGGAAAGGCCAGATGTAGAGATGATAGCGCTGGGGACAAAGGACACAGAATCCCCATGAAACTTCCTTAGGGACGTGAGGCGCAGTCCCAGGCTACATCCTGAAAAGGCCCAGATGGCCTCCCTTTGGAAGAGTATCTAAAGGCTCCAGCCACAGCCGTGTGGCGGTCCATAGACCCAGGAAAGTAAGGTCTCCCCTTCTCCTGCTGCCGTATGCCCCACTATCTCCCAGTGTCTCTGCCCCAATGGCATTTCTCTGGCTAACTTTGGCCATCTCCTGAATGATATTTTATTTTTCCCCCAATTACATGTAAAACAATTTTTAATATTCATTTGTTTTTAATTTTGAGTCCCAAATTCTCTCCCTCCCCCCTCCTTGAGATGGTAACCAATTTGGTATAGTTTGCACATATGAAATCATGCAAAACATACTTTGGCCATCTCTTGAAGGCTTTCCCCATCCTGGCAACTGACCTATAGGGGAGGAGAGGACTCAGGTCTTCCTCCTTCCCACCTAGCTGTGGGCTCAGTTTCCCAGACCCTGCCACCTTCAACCCCAATAATTCCTTGTCTTCTCCCTTTCCTCTCTTTTTTTGGGGGGGGGGCTAGGCAATGGGGTTAAGTGACTTGCCCAGGGTCACACAGCTAGTACATGTTAAGTGTCTGAGGCCAGATTTGAGCTCAGGTCCTCCTGACTCCAGGGCCAGTGCTCTATCTACTGCACCACCTAGCTGCCCTTTCCTCTCTACCCAGCTGTGAACAGTCCTGCACAGTCAAAGAGGCAGCTCTGGTGGCCCAGAAAGGTACTGGTCTTGGGGATCCAGGAAGACCTGGATTCTGACTTCCATACATGTGACTCTAGGCAAGGAATTTTGCCTCTCTGAGCCTTAGTTTGCCCATCTATAGAATGGGCCATCTGTCCCTGCAGCACTGTTTTAGAGAAAGTGCTCTCTGTAAACTCTAAAACATTAAATAAATAGTTGTTGATAATGCTATATAGTAATAGTTGCATATGTGGATTGATTATTCATGGCTGGTGAGTGCCACCCTCCCCCACCCCAAGCTGTTCTCCTTCCTTGTGCCTAATTCTGAATCTGACACTAGAAGTCTGAAGCCCTAGAGTCAGGAGGATCTGAGTTCAAATCCAGCCTCAGACACTTACTAGCTGTGTGACCCTGGGCAAGTCACTTAACCCTGATTGCCTCCGAAAGAAAGAAAGAAAGAAAGAAAGGAAGGAAGGAAGGAAGGAAGGAAGGAAGGAAGGAAGGAAGAAAGAAAGAAAGAAAGAAAGAAAGAAAGAAAGAAAGAAAGAAAGAAAGAAAGAAAGAAAGAAAGAAAGAAAAGAAGGCTGATCCTCATGCTGAAGACTTGGGAAGGATCTTACCTGGACTGTCTTGTGTTGTCCAGCCAGGAGGGAGAACCTCTGTCCACCTACATCCACATCTACCTGCTTGGCCCATGAGGCCACCATGGAGTGCTGGTGCTCAGTCTTTAGCCAGATGGCAAAAGGGATGAGGTGGGTGTTACAAGTTTGGACCAGGGTGACACGGCAGGCTCCCTGGAAGCTGAAGATAGCCCCATCAAAGGTATGGAGGTGGGGGTCCCCATAGAGCCACATTGTCCCATACTTGATAGGGTAGCAGCCCCGCACCCCTCCCTGTAGACGGCACACTTCTCTGGGCCCACAGACATGAGGACGGCACTCCATGGCCAGGCCGGGACCCTGACATATGCACTTCTGGCTGCATGTGTCTGTGAGTAGCACCTCAGCCCCCAAAGGGTAGTATTGTCCATTCAGGACACATCCACAGTGATCCTGGGGGATACAGATTCCATTCTCGAGAGCATATCCCTTCTGGCAAAAACAGCCTGCGATGCATGGATGGGTACAAGTGATGCTGGTATTGAAGTTGGCACAGGTGACTTGGCATGGGGTACCACAGAAGTCATAATAGCTATTGGGTGGGCAAGCAACATCTAGTGTGGAGAGAAGAAAGGTAAAGAAAAACTGGGGTATAGGATAGAGCTTCCCATCCCCTCTTTCCTACTGATTTCCCCACCCCAAGAAGGGAGCAGGAGTCCCTAGTTTGTCCTGTAAACAAATATAGCACATATGCTCAGAACGGCGATTAAAGGGGAGAATGAGGGGATTGAGATTAGGGATATGATGAGGGCGGCACTTGGGAGCTGGAGGTGAGGATGTTAGCAGTAAGGTCGGGGCTGGGTTTGGGAGTAATATCACATAAAGTTAAGGCAGATAGGTGGCACAGCGGATAGAGTGCCAGCCCTGGAGTGCCAAGACACTAGCTGTGTGACCCTGGGCAAGTCACTTTACTCTGTTTGCCTCAGTTTCCTCATCTGTAAAATGAGCTGGAAAAGGAAACGGCAAACCACTCCAGTATCTTTGCCAAGAAAACCCCAGATGGGACCATGAAGAGTCAGATATGACTAACTGACTAAACAACAATCATATAACATTAGAGCTACAAGTGACCTTAGACCCTCTAGTCCAGTTTGCTCAAAGGTTAAGTGACTTGGAGTGAGAGATGGGTAATAAAGGGAAGTGATAGCTAGGTGGTGCAGTGGATAAAGCACCGGCCCTGGAGTCAGGAGGACCTGAGTTCAAACCCAGCCTCAGACACATAACACGTACTAGCTGTGTGACCTTGGGCAAGTCACTTAACCCCATTGCCTAGTCGGAAAAAAAAAAAGAAAAGGAAAAGAGCTTGAGTTAATGATGGGATGAGGCATAGAGCTAGGGTTAAAATGAGGGGAAATTGTGAGGCTGGGGGTAGAGGGTCTTTTTTTGTTGTTGTTTTTGTTTTTTCTTGGTGGTGGGGGGAGGGAGTGGTCCTTACTGCATCCTAGGCCGGTTCTCCAGTCAGGCAGCCTCACCCTACGCAGGGCACAGAGCTCTGCATAGGCCTCCAGGGCAGCACACAGCATTCGATTGCCTGGCCCATACTGACATAGGTCATATACACAGGACTGCACGAAAGGGTCAGGCTTCTCATGCCAGTGGCACTCCGCAAAGGGTCCTGAGCGGTTGGAGAGGACAGCGCAGAGTTGCTTCACCTTGGGCTCCTCACGACAGAGCTCTGTTCCAATGAAGTCTTTCCGGCAGCTGCAGATCAGGAGGGGGTCTAGCCTCAGCTCCAGCCAAAGCAACCTTCCTCTGGTCCCCCTCCCCAGCGCTCCTGAGACTTTGGTTCACCCCGAGGTGCCTTCCTTTCCCTTCTTTGCATTTTGAAATATTACCTTTGCCTCCAGAAAGCTTTCTTCACTGTTCTAGCCACATTCCTCTCTCCCTTGTCCAGCCTGTAATACGAAAGGGCCCAGACCTCACCATCTGTCCTAGAACACTCACTGTATGTGGGTTGGCCCATGAAGGGATTTGTAACCAGACTAAAAGCTCAAGGGGCAGGGCTTATGTCTCTCTCACACACACATTTCCCTCACCCTTTGTCCAGCGTATAGTAAAGGCTTAATTTCCTTTGACTTTTGAGATGCTCTTGGTTGAACCAATGAAGGTGCAGAAGACATTTATCAATTCAGCAAATGTTTACTGAATGCCTGATGTCATGATCCTCTTGGAGAATGAAAGACAAATAACAACAACAGCTGAATGCCTGTCACGGCCACATCTTCAATACCTCTGGTCCCTGAAGTCTGCCTGCTTGATCTAAGACCTTGCCAGTTGCACAGTAAGCAAAGACCTGCCTTATAGCGGTACCCCTCCGGCTCCATCCCCTGTGCCTGCAGAGGATAGAGGACAGTGGTCTCACCTGGATGGGCTGGGATGCACCTGCCAGGCGTTTCCAAATTCAGCATCACTGGAAGCGAGCTTCCCATGAGGGAGGATCTTGTCATCACTCTCGTCGCCATTGAAGTTGCCGCACATGCCGCACAGACGGCCCCTGTATCCGGGCCCCACTCTCACAAACAGGGTGT